TGACAGTTTTGCAAGCGATCTGCAACAGCCAGAGGCCAGAATTTTTACCGCATCAATTATGACAAAAAAGCATACTGACATACTGAAGACATACTGACATGGGCAGCATTTTAATCTGCGGACATCAACAGCAACATAAAAAATACACGTTCAATGGTTTAAGATGAATGTTCACATGTATGGACCAGATTTAGCCTAAAGTATTTTTGCATATGAAAATTTAGTTTTTCATAAACCAACAAACATAACGGACTGGATAGGCCCAGCAGCTACAAAATTCTAACTTCTATACACATACGATTAATTACATATGAAGTATATTAGGTGGACTCCTGACAAATCATGCTGCGTATGTTAGGTTAGGTTAGGTTAAGGCGGCTGCCGGGCTCGCTCGGAGCCCGTCACACTTAGGCCGGTTTCGGCCCGTTGTGATACCGCATAGGATCATTCTTTCCTGCGTTGTGAGACTTCCTGTCAGCAATTATCCCATCCAGATGCTCTCACAAAGTTCGCTATCTTCCTGGGACATAGTTTGGACATCTCGGAGATGTCGTGTAGAAAGGCTGAGCCCGGGTGCTGTAGCCTTCTTCTGCTGAGAGCTGGGCAGGAGCAGAACAGATGTTCCACTGTCTCCTCCTCTTCCTCTTCTCTACAGCTGCGATAAAAATCGTTATGTGGGGCCCCCAGCCTGTTAGCGTGGGTGCCTATTAGCCAGTGTCCCGTGAGGGAACGTATGACTACGCTGCACCTTTTCCTGCTTAACTTGAGGAGCTCGGAGGTGCGCTTCATGTCCACGGTCGGCCATGTTGGCCGAGTTGTGCAACATCGTGGCACTATTTGCCACATATCGTTTGTTAGTCGCTTGTATTGCTCTTTTATAATGAGTTACAGGTGGCCATTGGCATACAGATATCCTCCTTGTCTTGGAGAAGGGGGATTGTAGTGCCAGATCTGGCCAGCTCGTCCGTTAGTTGCCCTTGATGTCCCGGTGGCCCGGGACCCAAATCAGGCTAATAGCAAATTGCTGAGCCATCTCGTGAAGAGATTTGCGGCAGTCTGCCACGGTGGCCGAGTTCGAGGAAATCGCACTTAGCGATTTGATCGCAGCATGGCTATCGCTATAAATGTTTAGCTTGGTTGCCGTAACGGCAGCCACTTGTAGGCAGTCTAGAGCCTCCCTGATTGCTATGACTTCCGCTTGAAAGACACTGCAATGATCTGGGAGCCTGAAGGAATGCCTTATGTTTAGCTGTTCAGAGTAGATTCCCCCTCCGACTCTGTCGTCCAGCTTTGATCCATCTGTGAAGATGTTTATGGCCCCATCTGGGCCTGGGAGTCAGTCGAGCCATTCGTCTCTGTGAGGGATGATTGTGTCGAAGGGAGTGACTGTGTACTCTCTTAGAACTTGGTAGTCCGTTTTTGAGGGTACGGTATTGAACTATTTAATATGGCTGAGTGACCGATGCGCTGTTTCACCCATTGATTTGAGTCTCTTAGACATATTGCTTCTGCTGCTGCTGCTGCGTCTGCCCGTTCCATTCCTGCGAGGTCAAGGCTCTGTAGGCATAAGATGGCATTTAACGCATCATTTGGGGTGGTGCGAAGAGCTCCGCTGATACATAGGGCGGCAGTTCGCTGGACTTTGCCCAGTTGCTTGGTGATCGCCCTTTTTGATAGGGCCGGCCACCACACCGTAACTCCGTAGAGTAGTATTGATCTAACTATAGCTTGATATATCCATTTGACTATGCTTGGGATCATACCCCATCTTAGCCCAATAGCTTTTTTTGCATGTGTAGAGTGCAGTCATTGCCTTCTTCACTCTGTCTTTGACATTCAGGTTCCAGCTAAGCTTCTTGTCAATTACCAACCCTAAGTAACTGGCACTGTCGCTAAAGGAGAGCCTGCATCCTTGTAGTATTGGAGGGTTGAGGGGCGGGACCTTGTATTTGTTTGTGAATAATACGAGTTCCGTTTTTGAGGGATTTACTCCCAGACCGCGCGATTCCCTCCAATCCGACAGTTGCGCTAGCTTTGTGGACATTAAGTCGCACAGTGTTTGGGGGTATTTCCCCGAGAAGATAATCGCAACGTCATCCGCATAGGCCACGACTTTGCAGCCCCCCCTTCTAGGTCACATAGAATCTTGTTGACTGCTATGTTCCACAGAAGAGGAGACAGGACACCACATTGCGGGGTGCCTCTGTTGACATACCTTGACTGGGCGGACGATCCCATCGATGATGTCACCGTCCTGCATGTGAGCAATTGATCAATGAGCATCACCAAGTGACGGTCCACCCCCAGGTCGGTCAGGGCTTCTGTAATGGCGCCCGGTACAACGTTGTTGAAAGCTCCCTCAATATCCAGAAAGGCTATGAGTGAGTACTCTTTGGGATGCAGAGATTTCTCTACCGCTGAGATCACTTCATGAAGAGCCGTTTCCGTGGATTTTCCTTTCCGGTAGGCATGCTGTGCGCCAGACAGCAACTGAGGGTGTATAGTTGTCCTCAGTTGCAGCCCGACGAGTCTCTCAAAGGTTTTGAGGAGGAAGGACGATAGGCTGATTGGTCTAAAGTCTTTTGCAGCTGATTACGAGGCTTTCCCAGCTTTGGGAATGAAGACTATCTTTGCCTTAAGCCATGTTTGCGGGATTGTACCCACAGCCAGTATCTTCCTGAAGATACCTTGTAGCCAGTTGATGGCCGTATCCCCGGCCTTCTGAAGTTGGGCCGGGATTACCTGGTCTGGGCCTGGCGATTTGAACGGGTTGAAGCTGTTTATTGCCCAGCTTATGTTACGTTTTGTGAGGATATGATCCATCGAGGTTACCGGTCCCTCTCCTGGGAGATGTACCGTCTCGATAGTTGTGTACCCTGGGAAATGCGTGTCTAGTAGAATGTGCAGGGACTCCTCACTGGAGTTGGTCCACGTGCCGTCATTCTTTTTAAGATACCCTACCGAGGGGTTAGTTTTTGAGAGAATCTTGCGAAGCCTTGCGGCCTCTGACGTTTCCTCAATTTCCGAGCAAAATTTTTGCGAAGAGGCCCTTTTTGCTTTCCTTGTTTCCTTTTTATATAGTGACAGACAGATTTTGTAGTCTGCCCAGTGGCTCTCCTCGTTCGCGCTTTTGGCCCTGTTGAAGAGGGTCCTGCAGCTTTTACGTAGGATATCTATTTGTTTTGACCACCAGGGGGGTTTCTTTTTCCCCCTAGGTTTGCTAGAGGGGCATGCTGCCGCGAAGGCTTTGTTGCATGCTTCTGTGAACCTGTTCACTAGGCGATCTAGGTCGTCTTTTGTGTCCGGGCATGATGGTGCTTTTGAGGGGAGTAAGTCCTCCAGGGCTGAGCTATATTTTTCCCAGTTGGCTTTCCTGGGAATAATATAGTCCTTAGGTTTCGGACACTCGAGGGATAGTGTGGTCTCGATGTATCTGTGGTCAGAGAAAGAGTGGTCATCAAGGACTTGCCAACTCTTGACTATGTCTAACAGGTTGGGAGACACTAAGGTGAGGTCAATAACCTCCTGTCGATTTTTAATTATAAAAGTGGGGTCGTTGCCCCGATTACAAATAAATAGATTTGAGTTAAGGATGAAGCTGAAAAGTGACTCACCCCTTACATTTGTATTCGAGCTCCCCCATTGAGTGTGGTGCGCGTGGGCATCGCAACCTATTAATAGGTCTATGTCCGACCTCTCGCTGTCGCTGTCTAGTTTTCGAACAAGGTCGTTGGGAGGATCGTTTTCCTCATGGGCCATGTAGGACGACATCAGCCTTAGATGTGTCCCTTTCAGCTCTAGGCTTGCCGCCGTGTTGTCGCTATCGCTATAATTATGGAGCAGAAAGATATTAAGGTGCTTTCTGGCGAGAATGCGAGAATGGTGCGGGTTTTACCTTCATGTTGAGCTACAATTATCTTGTACTCCTTCGACCCTAGTCCACAAACCTTGTCTCCCACTATCCAAGGTACCTGGATCAGGGCTACCTCTGCTCCGCTCTCTTCGGGGCTCTGAAGGAGCCTCAAGGCCATCCTTAGTGTTCTCCACCACTGTAATATCGGCATCTGAATCGTTCTCGACTTCCTCGTGGCAACACATCGCCTCGAAGTCGCATCTCAGCGTGCCATCGGTGGAGTAGCCCTCTGGGTCTGTCTCTGTGTGATCGTCGGGTGCTTCGATCTCCGAGGCAGCGTCCTGCTCGACTGGCTTGTCGACAGGACGTGCCCCGGCCGCTGCATCCGACTTGTAGACCTTTACGGTCACAGAGCTGAACCCAAAATTGAGCTCGCCTTTGGCAGCCTCAATCGGGGCCAGCGACTCTTTGTTGAGGACGACCACCACCTGGTTTGTGGGGCGCTGTGTCGTTTCAACTTTGACCACCTTCCAGTCCGCTGTTGGGAGGTGGGGGTTGCATCTTTGCAGTATTTTTAGGATGCGTTCCGGCTCCTTCATGGAGGCGGGCACCCAGACTCTCGCCCTTGGTCGTTCGCTATCCGCAACCTGTGACCCGTCCGGTGGCCTCAGCTAGACCCCCTTTGAGCCACCTCACGCGCTCATCAGACCAGATGCTACGTATAATCAAAGACTATACAATACCAAGATGTTGCAAGAGCGACTAAAAAGCTGTTCTATGGCGGGTCCTAACATTAGAACCCAAAAGGCACGAGGGAGCGCGCGGGGTTTCAATTCCCTTCTCGCCTGTACTTCGTCTCTACCGCGACCCCGCTGCCCATCGGTTTCGTCTGTTCGGCAATTCTGGACTCTCGAGCCTCAGCACCGTCGAAGCGGTGGTCGCGGTCAACGTTAGCCTGCACTCTCGCTCATCGGATTACTCAACTCTCATCACTGCCATTGTAGCCTCTAGCATAACCGATCGACAGCCAAGCTTTGGAATTGACACTCAAAACTGGAACATTCCATCTAACATACCACTAACTGATCCGGAGTTTTATAAGCCACAGCGCGTCGATCTGCTAATTGGCGCAAGTCTGTTTTTCGAGCTCCTGTGTGTTGGTCAGGTCAAGCTACTGCCAGGATTGCCTTCAATTCAGAAAACGCGCTTGGGATGGGTCGTGTCTGGAAGTTGTTCGCGTTCAAAAGGTTCTTCGTTGATGATCTCTCGCGCACGGGCCGTAGCTGCTGAGGATAATAGTCCAGAGGATCGGCTTGAAGCGCTTCTTCGGAGGTTTTGGGAGGTAGAAAATTGCATCGAACCAATAATAAAGTCTACCAAAGAAGAGCTAGATTGTGAAGCACACTTTGTGCAGCATTTCCGTCGACTACATAAAGGCGATTATTGTGTTCGGCTGCCAGCAAAATATAATTTGGATCTCCAACTTATCTTACAATCAAGCGCTTCGTAGATTCCTGACCCTTGAGAGAAAGTTAGATCGTCGCCCTGATGTTAAATCTCAGTATGCAGCATTTATAATGGAGTACCTTGATTTAGGCCATATGTCTCAGGTTCCTACCCAGTCAATCAGCAACTGCCGATATTTTTTGCCTCACCATTGCGTCATGAAGGAAGATAGTTCTACGACCAAGCTTCGCGTCGTTTTTGATGGATCCGCTTCAACCTCATCTGGATATTCCCTGAACGACGTTTTAATGGCTGGTCCCGTAATCCAACCCAAACTGTTTCATATTCTTGCTCGATTTCGGTAATACGCCGTTGCGATTACGGGAGATATCTGTAAGATGTATCGTTGTGTAAGAGTCTCGACCGAGGATAGCAACTTGCAGTGTATTCTGTGGAGAAACTCCAGGGAAGAAGACTTGCATGTGTTTCAATTGGACACCGTTACTTATGGGACGAAGCCTGCCTCCTATTTATCTGTGCGAGCGATGCATCAGTTGGCAATGGACGAGCAGATGGCGTTTCCAGTTGGAGATGAAATCCTTCGCCGTGACTTCTACGTGGATGACTTGATATCTGGAGCCAGCTCGCAGGAGGAGGCTATCCGAATTCGGGAGCAAACTACTGGAATTTTGGCTAGAGGTCAGTTCAGATTGAGGAAATGGTGTTCGAACGTCCCTGCTGTGCTGGATGGAGTTCCGGAAGAGGACAAGGAAACATTTTTGAAGTTCGACGATGGCAGCCATGTGACTAAAACTTTAGGACTTGCGTGGGATCCGGTTTCTGATCTACTATTATTTTCGTTCTCGGCCCTTCAATCTTCTTTGAATTCCTGCAGGCGCTCTGTTTTGTCATCCATAGCGCGATTCTACGATCCTCTCGGACTAGCTGGTCCCGTAATTACTAAATCCAAAATCTTTCTCCAGCGAATGTGCCAAGAGAAGTTGTCCTGGGATGAAAGCCTTCTAGTCGCACTGAACACCGAGTGGCAGGAAATATGCGCCAGATTTGGCCAGATTCGTCGACTTGAATTTCCTCGGCTTGTACTCCTTCCAGACTCTACGCTTGAAATTCACGGATTTTGCGATGCCAGCATCGAGGCTTAAGGTGCATGCATTTATGTTGTGTCCAAGGGTCAGCATTCCAGCAGTCGCTTACTTTGTGTCAAATCTCGTGTGGCTCTACATGGACTAAAGCGCTTCATATGTACCAGACGAAAGCCGCGGCAAATTTGGTCAGACAACGCACCCAATTTTGTCGGCGCTAAGAATGAGCTGATGGAAATAAAGCGCCTGGTCCTCAGCGATGACCATCAGAAGGCGCTGCTGGATTTTTGCTTGGTCGAGGCTATGACTGGCATTTCATTCCTCCGCGCTCCCCTCATTTTGGTGGTCTATGGGAGGCTGCAGTGAAGACGGCCAAGTACCACTTCTACCGTGCGATAGGCAACTCGGTTCTTGGATTTGACGAGCTGCGGACGCTGTTGTGCCACATCACGGCAGTGATTAATTCAAGACCTTTAGTTTCAATTTCAGAGAGCCCTGCCGATCTAGATGCTCTAACTCCAGCGAATTTCTTGAATGGTGGCCCTCCTGCTTCGTTCGCTGAGCCTGACGTCACGCAGCTAAACTTCGATCGCCTGGACGGCTGGCAGCGCGTTTCGTACCTGCAGCAGCTCTTTTGGTTCCGGTGGAAGGAGGAGTACATAACGTCACTGCAGCAGCGCTCAAAGTGGCGCACTGCGAAGCCTAGTTTAGCTGTCGCAGATTTGGTTCTTGTGAAGTGGCTACTGGCGAGAGTGGTCGAGCTTTTGCCCGGACGAGATGGCGTTTCCCGAGTTGCTGTGCTGAAGACGTCATCTGGAATCACAAAGCGCGCCGTCAACAAGCTGTGCCTGCTGCCCCTTAAAGATGCTGTTGAAAGTCAGGCTTCCAACGGGGGGAGTATGTCGGGTCAAGCAGCTTAAATATTTTAAATTATTGCCAGTGGTGCGGCCCAAAGGAAATGCATTTTGGTGTTGTCGTTTCCAATACCCCCACTGCAAAGATCATTTGCTACCGCATATACGCATGCAGCGGAATTCTTTCGTCTCCTTATGTCGCAATCTCTCGGACTCGGCTTAACAGCGTCCCCGAGCAGCTCTAACGCTCTCGGGCTATCATACGCTCTCGCTCGCGTCTAAGCTTGCTGCATAGGGCAGTCTTGAGCTAATCGTCGCAGCTATTAGATTAACATCCTCGCATCAATCGTTCGCCCAATCATTCCCATATGTACATACGCGATAAGTTGATTTACATATGCAAATAAATTGTGAATTATAAACGGCCTCTCGACTTTCATTAACTTCAAATTGCAACAGTTATTAAAAACGCTTAATAGCTTAACACTAACCATGCATTCAAAATACAAATACAAATACAAATACCACTACTATTACTACTTAAGTACTAGAAAAGTGTGTAAGGATTAGTAATTTAATAAGAGGATGAGAATTAGTGGTGGATATAATATGGTAGAGGGAATTATTATCCGAGCATACGACCCTAAATGGTTCATTTAAGGAATAATTCGATCTACAAAGTGGAAGAAACAACGTGAAGTTTATGCGGCTCAAAGATCAGGGCTGTATTTAGAATTGACGAGGAGGAACGTTGTGAGTTGCTGCGGACACCGCAACTCTACAGTTATACCCGATACTAAATCAGTATGGCTCTCCTCCGGCAGACGCCGCTAATATTAAACGACACGACAAAGAGTGCGTGCGAGTGAGACAGAAAATCAGTCTGAGCGTGACGTCACGCGCTGCGTAGCCACTGCAAATTGATTTGTTTCCTTTGGCTATAAAAATGATCTGATCTGATCCAGATTCAGCAATCTGATAGATATGGTCGTTATCTATGATTCTGCGTTTTTAGTTTTCTCAAATCTGCAATATTGTGGAGGCAACAGATTTTCGTCCTTTGTGTGGGCGGAAGGGGGTGGTGCGAAATTTTGAGATAAAGGTTTTATAGTGAGATCTAACAGAAGTGCGGATACCAAATTTGGTTACTCTAGCTTCAATAGTCTCTGAGATTTGTGAATATCCCCAGATTCGCATCCTTTGCGGGGGCGGAAAGGGGTGTGGCGAAATTTTGAAACAAACTCGTCTCGGTCCGATATATTAGGAGTGTGGATGCCAAATTTGGTTGCTCTAGCTTTTATAGTCTCTGAGATCTAGGCGCTAATGTTTTACTCTAAGCAAAGCCGCCTATGCTACGTGTGTGTTAGAGAGAGACAGGGCGAGAAAAAATTAAATTGTTTTCTTGATGCTGGCTATAATAATAATACGATCCAGTTCAGATTCTGCAGTCTAAAAGATATGGTCATTCTCTACGATTCTGCGTTTTTGGTTTTCTCGTATAGTCGAAATTGTGGATGCCACAGATTTTCGCCCTTTGTGGGGGCGGAAGTGGGCGGGGAAAAGTTTTGAAATATTTTTGTAGCAGTGACATATCACAGAAGTCTGGATCCAAAACATCGTTGCTCTAGCTCTTATAGTCTTTGAGCATTAGGCGCTGAAGGGGACGGACAGACGGACAGACGGACGGACGGACGGACGGACAGACGGACAGACAGACATGGCTCAATCGACTCGGCTATTGATGCTGATCAAGAATATATATACTTTATGGGGTCGGAAACGATTCCTTCTGGACGTTACACACATCCACTTTTACCACAAATCTAATATACCCCAATACTCATTTTGAGTATCCGGTATAAAAATACTAATGTATGTAAATGCTCCTCCGGTGAATAAAAATGATGAAATTACGAATTACCAAATTGGCCGGTATATCAGTTCCAATGAAGCTGTCTGGCCTATTTTTGGTTTCCCAATTCATTAACGGGATCCAGCAGCTATAAATTTAGCTGTTCATCTTGAAAACGGCCAGCGCGTATATTTCACGGACGGTACAGCGCTTGACCGTGCTATAAATTCACCAAAAACTACGCTCACCGATTTTTTTGAGCTGTGCAATCGTGCGGATGCTTTTGGTGCCTTCGCACAAACACTGCTCTATTCAAATCAAATAGTTTGGGTTGTGTATATACAGTCAATCCAAGGCAGACTGAGTGCTTTTATGTGCGACTGTTGTTCGTAAATGTTACCGGACCATTGTCATTTCAAGATATACGCAAGGTAGATGGACAACAGTATCCAACGTATAAAGATGCATGCCTTGCACTAGGCTTGCTAAAAGACAACAATCATTGGGACAGTATGCTTGCTGAAGCAGCATTAAACTGCACAGGAACAAAAAAATTTCTATAGTAATGACTACATGTTTCCCGGCCCGAGCACAAGTGTTTTGGGATAATCACAAAGATTCAATGACTGATGATATACTGTATCGACATCGTACAAGGTGTAACGATCAAACGATATCGTTCAGTGATGCAATGTACAATGAAGCATTGATTGCTATCGAGGATCATTGCATTGATATTGCGAGTTTACCAATCAGTCATTTCGGTCTGAGCTCACCGAATCAAAGTGCATCCGATTTACTCAAGACAGATATGAATCGTGCACTAAAGCCATTGTTAGTCACAATGTTCCACTACTAAATGATAAACAAAAAGTTACTTACGACCTCGTTATGCTGGCAGTTTCGGCAGGATAAGGAGGATCCTTTTTTCTTGATCCAGGTGGAAGTGGAAAAACGTTCCTTATTTCGCTACTTCTTGCCAATATACGATACAAAAAAAGTTGCATCGCATTGGCCGTTGCATATTCTGGCATTGCAGCAACTTTATTAGATGGCC